CCCCCCCCCCCCCCCCCCCAACACCACCACACACAGACCACACCATCTGAAAAGAAAAAAAAGGATACTGTATTGATGCATCAGATTCGTTTTGAGGAACACTTGAGACCTTTCTCTTTTTTGGTGAAGGAAGCTGCCTTGATCGTTGTTTACGGCAAGAAATGGTTGCCTTAAAAGACTGAAACCAGTCGTGAAGGTTGATGAGATCCCCATGCTCCTGAGCCAGCATATACCTATGACGAGAAAAAGTTTAAATCTTCAAAACAAAAACCAGCTGAGTCGAAGGCATAATATCCAGCATTGGTGATGCTTAATTGGAAAGGCCAAGGATGAGACTATTACAATTAAAGGGCTTGAGCAAAAAAAATCATGAAGAATGTGACTTCGAATCATGCAACACTTGACCATGGCATTTAAAACAAATTTAATTTTATTTACATTTCTAGAGAATTTTGTGGCTATCCATATCAAAAACATCTTACATGATTGAAGTATCATGCATGGATGGTGACAGCAAAATACCACCCTTGCTGCAACAACAACACTTGAGAATTTTTTGGAACTCAAGAAGATCACTTTGAATTCTTCTCCTTGGGTTTCCTGTCAAAGCCTGATTTCAATTTTGAATAAGACTCTCAGTCATCCAAATGTAAAGGTGTATTCAGTTTCATATAGTTTTAAATTTAAAAACTGAGTCAGAGATTGAGCACAGAATATTCAACTAAACCTTCGCCAAGATCATATAGAGGAATGAGAAAACAAATACTCCCTCCATCCAACAAGAAATTTCCACCTTGGGATTTTCTAGTCAATTGTGTTAAACGATACACACACACACACACACACACACAGATATATAATTATATATACATCACTCGAAGTGTTTTATTACTTTTATATTTGACTAGAAAAGTCAAAGATGGAAAATCTTAGTGGGACGAAGGGAGTACATGCATCTGTATAAGGTAGAGAAACTAACAGGAACAGACTTCTGTTAGAACTACTGCAAGCCAGAAACATATATTATTATATTACTTCAGTACTTGTGCAGTAACTTGAACAGTCAACTAATAAAATTTCTATGATGATACTTAACTGATTGCAGTTTGTCAACATCTTTGAAGCAAACAATTTCATGAAATGGTATAGACTCAATTGGCTGCAAGTATTCCCTGTTTAACAGGATAAATGAAACATGTGTTTCAAACATAACAAATAAGAACCTTCAATGGATTATGCCAGTTATTCATGATTGAAATGGTCCACTTATTCATTTAAAATGTAAAAATAGTAAGTCCTTGGTAGATTTTGTTAGCCTTATTCCAGTTAACATGATCGACACTGAAGCAAAATTCCATCTCTATATTTCGGGTTATGCCTTGTGTACACCACTTGTATATTAAGTTACACACTTCCCATTTTTTGCTCCTACCAACACACACTTTTGTTCAAACAGAGAAAAATGGTTTGTGCAATGTCTATGAGAGCCCTCGCCAACATACGGCTTTGTGAGTCTAAAATAAAATGTTTATCGGTGCATAAAAAGAACTTGCCCTATTTTTAAATCCCATGTTTGAACTTCCGTCATATGTACTCCGCCATTTTCTTTCCTACCCATCCAAATATGTTAGTTTTATGGTTTAAACTTGATACACTATAAAGGTACTCGTTTTCTACATCTCATACACAAACACGTGTCTATAACATAATATGTGCTTATCATGTAGGGATTCTACCTTGTGAAATGCGTGAATTTTGTCCAACCACCAGGCCATCTAATTAGTTATACTCCCTTGGTCCCATAAAAAGAGTCAAATGGGAGAAAAGAGATGTTAATTTTCATTGCATCAAACATTTTCAAATAAAAGAATTATGCCAAACAAGTTAAATATGTTAAATTTAGTTAAACTGACAAAGAAACTTGAAAATATAACTATATTTGACAATTTTGAATTATTATAGACTTGTAGCTCACCAAGATTGAAAGGTTGTACTTTGGAGAAACAGGACCTATTATGGAATGGAGAGGGTTTCATTCAGTTTTTTTCAAAAATTCTGCAAGCACAAAATTCCCATTGCTAATATGAAAGTGCATCCATACATATAGGAAAAGGGAGTGCATAAATGTGTCTAAGACTCTAAGTTATCTTTTTCTATATATTTAAATTTTAAATGCATTTGTGCAATATCTGTTTTAGCAAACCATACTGATTGAATGAATGGAAACAGTTTATTCTACAATTTATTTCAGGGTTAGTAAATTTATGCCACTGTTACCATGAATTTTCAAACAATTTCATGAAATGGTATAGACTCAATTGGCTGCAAGTATTCCCTGTTTAACAGGATAAATGAAACACGTGTTTCAAACATAACAAATAAGAACCTTCAATGGATTATGCCAGTAATTCATGATTGAAATGGTCCACTTATTCATTTAAAATGTAAAAATAGTAACTCCTTAGTAGATTTTGTTAGCCTTATTCCAGTTAACATGATCGACACTGAAGCAAAATTCCATCTCTATATTTCGGGTTATGCCTTGTGTACACCACTTGTATATTTCGGGTTATGCCTTTTGAATTATTATAGACTTGTAGCTCACCAAGATTGAAAAGTTGTACTTTGGAGAAACATGACTTATTATGGAATGGAGAGGGTTTCATTCAGTTTTTTCAAAAATTCTGCAAGCACAAAATTCCCATTGCTACTATGAAAGTGCATCCATACATATAGGAAAAGGGAGTGCATAAATGTGTCTAAGACTCTAAGTTATCTTTCTCTATATATTTAAATTTTAAATACATTTGTGGAATATCTGTTTTAGCAAACCACACTGATTGAATGAATGGAAACAGTTTATTCTACAATTTATTTCAGGGTTAGTAAATTTATGCCACTGTTGCCATGAATTTTCAGTGTCTAGTCTCACTCCTCAGTTAGACCAAGAAAAATTATGATGGGATCAGCTGTAAAAGGAATATTGTTTGTAGATAAGTATTTCCATCATCTCCGATGGAGCCAAAATTTCACCATTTTTTGGCTTTGGGGTGTGATGGAATAAATCAAAATGGATCTCTAAACTATCTGCGCTTCTTTAATTAATGAAGTAGCAGTTAGTCAAGCAATGCAACTTTCGATGTTGAGCCGGGGGTCTCTTTGGAAACAGCCTCTCTACTTTCAAGTAGGGGCAAGGTCTGCATACACACACCCTCCCCAGACCCTACTNGTAAAAGGAATATTGTTTGTAGATAAGTATTTCCATCATCTCCGATGGAGCCAAAATTTCACCATTTTTTGGCTTTGGGGTGTGATGGAATAAATCAAAATGGATCTCTAAACTATCTGCGCTTCTTTAATTAATGAAGTAGCAGTTAGTCAAGCAATGCAACTTTCGATGTTGAGCCGGGGGTCTCTTTGGAAACAGCCTCTCTACTTTCAAGTAGGGGCAAGGTCTGCATACACACACCCTCCCCAGACCCTACTCTTGTGGGATTTAACTGGGTTGTTGTTGTTGTTGTTGTTTTTGTAGATAAGCTAGTCCAGTTGGCAAATTAAACAGGGAGTGGCCAGATCGAGGGCCAAACTCAGGAAAAGGGAAGTCAAATGATGGTTTCAAGTATTGCAAAGCACAAATGAATCATATACTAGCTTGTTCTTTTGTTTGAAAGTCTGAGAGAATTTGAGAGATCAGTGTTCCTGAATATCGAGGATATCTCTTGCATGTTTTGTTTAAAAAACAATTATGGTGATTTTGTGCAATGCTAATTATACAAATGGATGTAGAAATGTAAACCAACCCAGCAAAAGATTCTGATTTCTGACATAGTAACAAACACAGCCTCCCTACCTCATCATGTCACAAACCAATTGTTTAGCTTTCTCATTCAAGGCACTCTCATCCTTTGCCCTTTTTATTTTTCCCTGAGATATATGCCTTCTGCCACATAAACAACACAATAAAGAATAATCACAGTACACAAATCCATTTTGTTGAGGATTCAGAGCATGCCCAGTAACAGTTTTTTTCTTTTGGCAATTCTAGATTATGAGCTAGGGGCCAAACTGGGTATAAGAGGCCCTAGGCAGGCTCTGGGTAGATGAAAAAGAGCAAACTGTTTCAGCTTATTAGCAAAACTGGAATAAATGCTGTGTCCTAGAGTGATTAGGCAGCATGGTTTCCCAAAATTTAAAACATACATATAATTCACAAACAATGAAACAACCAAATTAGAACCATTCAAAATCTAGAAAGGTAAATAGAATAAGTGTTCACACCAAGGGTATGAAGGTCAGACAGGAGAAGCAGAAACTTAAATGATGGGACCAAAGCCAGCAGAACCTTTGACATTTTTTGAGGTACCACAGTGCATGAGTTCATGCATGCTGAGTCTGAGAAGGGCTTGTGCATCGAGGTCGAATGAATGCCGCCTTAACTAATATTTTTATTATATAAGAGGGTATTAAGTATCAACGCTGCTAAGACATGTGATCTCGAGTTCAGATGGAAAGAGTTTTACCACCACACCAAGGTTCCATTGTATTACTAAAGTAGTAATGAAATTTTATCCTCACACAGCATATACTTACATTAGTACATTGTGAGCCGCATAATGGGTTAGCCTTCACCTGGGACTAAGATATAATTGCTAGGGTGTTGGACACATCAACAATAGGAAGTACCCAGGGCATTGATCAAAACCCTCACTTTCTCATATTCATCAGACCATTTTAATTAATAATCTAAAGAGGATACTTTGTTTCCAAAGGCAGATTAGGTTCACTACAAGCTGAAAAGAATGTATCAAGCTCAATTAGACGAATATAGAAAAGTGGAAGACAGAGTACACATAGGGATGAGGTACCTAGCTAATTGGAAGAAAAAATACGTCAAGCCAACACAACGCACAATCAACACGAACAAAACTAGCACCCTAGACTAATCGACTACCCAACTACTCTAATCCTAGATCTCCAGCCGTCCCTATCTAAGGCCATATCCTCGGTAAGAGCCAAATGTCCTAAGTCCTGCCTAACCACCTCCATCCAATTCTTCCTAGGTCTACCCCTACCCCGCAACCTCCAACTACCGAAAGCCTCTCACATCTCCGCACTAGAGCCTTAGGTGCACGCATTCTCACATGACCAAACCATCTTAACCTAACCTCTGGAATGACTAGAAGAAACTGGAAAAACTTCAAAAAAATGGAAAACCTAAAAAAAATTATTTTAGTGTACTTTTATATTATTCTCATTCTAATTCTTATTATAAATTATTATTATTATTATTATTATTATTATCATCATCATCATCATCATCACGTTATCTTAATAAATGCCTTTAAGATAAAAAAAGTATTGTTATTTTTCATACACGAAAGCTACTTTTGCAAAAAATGAATAATTATAATAAAGTTAGCATAAATATCAAAATGTTAAATTTTAAAAAGTTATTGTGGTTACGTTACACCTCAATTTATTTATGCAATTTTATTATAAAATAATATATTTGTAATTATACTTTATATATTACAATATTTTGTTTTAAATATCAGACTTGTCACATAATGTAATCAAACCTATTTTTTCTTTTATGATTGACATTTTATTTTCATTGTAACTCCTATTTTTGGAATAGAGACATGGAACTTTTATTTTTGTACATTTTTTTATGTTTTACTCCTGTTTTAGTCTTTTTCTCTAAACTATTTTGACTTTTAATATTTTTATAAAAATTAGAAAAATAAAAAAAAAATTGAAATAAATAAAAATGAGAAAAAATTGAGTAATAAAGGGAAAGGTGAGGGCTCTTATATAAAGTTAGATTAATAAAACATTCTATGTAACTATTTTATCCATAATTGTTTAATATAGTTTATAATATTGATGTTTTCCTATTTTATCATGTAGATTAATATACAAAAAAATGTCTTATTCATATTAAAATGTTGAGGAAAAAATAATAATGAGTGAATCGTAAAAATAGTGAGATGAAAAAAATTATAAATTATAGTTATGAACATAAGAGTTGCAATAATAATAATAATAATAATAATAATAATAATAATAATCAAATTAAAAATATATCGTTTTTAGAGTAATTCGTTGGGGAGTAGAAAGAGTTTGAAGAAAATAAAAATAGTTGGAAGAAACTGGAAGGAACTGAAGTACTGGAAGAAATTGGAAGGAACTGAAGAAACTGGAAGTTAAGAGTTTAAGCCCTAAAGAACAGGCTCTAAATGGTACAAGGGATGTAATATATTTAAATAAACAAGTCTCTTTCATTAAAATGACAAAGGTAGCTTTTAGAAGTTATATGGTTCTTCAAAGAAATGAATAGAATCACACAGATGTGGCATGCGTATCCAATAATGTTGTGTTAAGGAAATGTAAATACTTCATACATACTTTGATGTATCTGTTAACTCTTTCTTAGAATGTAGATTATCAGCATTTTGCACCAATGATTGCAGTTCGACTATTTTTGTTTGAACCTGAGAAATGAAGTGAGACAAACAAAATGCTATTATTATTTTATACCTAGGAAACTGTACCGTCCACATATAACCTTTATTGTTGAATAAAGTGCTTTATAATGACAAGATTCATAGTGAGGGAAATGGAAAAGGGAGATAAGGCAGGGGGTACAACATCAAAGAAGTATTTTATTCTTTTCTTAGACAGTAGACCAAAACATTTGGTGTATGCTAGCACTTTGGTCATATTTTGGAAACTACTTAATCTGCAGGCATTCAACACATAATTGAATAAATTAATTGATAAATGATCCTAATATGAGAAGGAAATGGTTGTTCTTTTGGTGGGTTGTCTCCAGAGATTTACATTGAGAATACTACAAATTTTTCTAAATGATGGTTTACAAAGCAAAAACACAGTATAATGCCAGCCTTAATGGAGTCTTGCCATCTAGGGGGTCAAGATGTACTCAATCTTACCCCTACAACAAACAAAGAGGTTATTTCCGTTAGACCCTTGATGCATTGATGCATTTACTTCCCAAAACTTGATAAGAAGTGAGAAGCATGGGAAGTTTAATTGTTTGATTTAGTTCATTATTTGAACAAAGCTAAAACATTATCAATAAAGACTATTTTAGCTCCATTGGCATTGGACTTAACAAAGCAAACATAATATAATCATATGAAAAGGGAGAAGGAAATTTATATCAATCTTTTAGCTAAAAAGAAGAAATTTTGGACATACCTCAGTGTTGCCTTGAACAAGCATTTCCCAAGTTTTAAGCAACTGGCCTAACATTGCTGCTGGTAAATTGCTGTATAAAGGGATTCAAATTTAAAATAAGTACAAAAATAAACACTCCCTTTGTCCCTGTTTTAACTTCATTCTTTCTCTTTCATATGTAGAATATATCTTCTATGTCTTTAGAAGAAAAGATAATGTGGTTTAAATAGTCTCTTTCTTCGAAATAAATCTCACACAGTATCCACTATCTTAAAAAATGTGCTAAGTCAAATGAGAAGATAAATTGGGGACAAAAGTAGTAAATAAATAAAAAGTACACCCACCTAGACATATATAGTGTTGTTTAAGGTACATCTAGATTAAAAAGTTCATTAAACATCCTAAGATTTTGCAAAACAAAATTTATATGCTTAGAATACCATGAGTGAATATTCTTTCATGGAATATTAAAAGCTGCTTTAGTTGATAGTTGAGATTGAGATGAAGAAAAACAGTAAGAGTGGAAGTTGGTTTTGAATGCATTCTTGATTTCTCTCTTTAAATGACACATCCCAAAACAATGTTTTTGGCCAAAACAACAAACAACCCAGTATAATCTCAGTTCTGCTAGATTGTGGGAGGAGGGAGGGTAAAGATGTACACAGATTTACCCCTGCCATACATAGAAGTTATTTCTGTTACACCCTTAATACATTGGTGCATTTACTTCCTATAACTTCATAGAAAGTAAAAAGAAAGAGAAGTTTAATGTTCCATTTTGATTTAGTCCAATATTTGCCCGAAGCTGAAACATTTTAAAGATGACTCTATTAGCTCCATTGGCAATGGATGGAAATGGGGGAGTACAAAAGTTTTAGTTCTATGTTCAAAATATAGCCATCACAAAAGTAGAGAGTTCAGCTTTTTAATTAACACTCCAACTATTTATCCATAAGCAATTATTATAATTTAACAGAATAAGCAATTATTATAATTTAACAGTGTAATTGTTCACTTCTCTAAAATGAGAACATTATCCAACCTGATTTATGTAAATCCTCATTTTCTAAAAATTGAACATAGACAGTAGAATATATGTGTAAAATATCCTAACTTCCTCCGACCACCGCCACCACCAGATGTAAATATGAAAGACATAACAGAGAATCCTTAAAATAAAAAATTGAAAAAAGGAAAAGGCAAATAGGAAAGAGAAGAATTCACATGAAAAAGAAAACAGAAAATTTGAAAGAAAAATATTAACTGGCAGTCTGGCACTGATAGCTAAGTAATTATAAATAACTGAAATGCTCTAAAAATCTTTGTAGGACAATTATCCCTGCACTAGTGTACTACCTCAGGTTTAGGATGACTTGATCGATGAACTTGTGCTTTTCTGAAGCATGACCTAATCCTGATAAACCTGCCTGCATGTCTTTTCCCCTTTTTCTCTGATGCGACAGAAACATGGTTACGCATAGCTCCGGATTTAGCAGCTCCCAGTGCAGATCAAGTAGTGAAACATTACAATGCTTTCCCGCTTCATACAGACACTGAGATGTACCAAACTAACAGTCACGAGATAGAATTGTTTTTATAACACATCAGCTAACCACCATTTCATTGAAATATTGAATAGTTGAATGGCTAAAAGTGAGTATATCTTCTTCCAATAGTTTAATAGAAGAAATGATGAGCGTAAAAATTGAACCACACAAGCATCACAGGAGGGCATTAAACATTAAAAGATACCAGGTAGAATATGAGTGCATATTTAAACAGAATATAGGAGTACTTGCATTCAATTTTCATTCACTAGAGAAAACCAAAAGCAACAACAACAACAACAACCCAGTTAAATCCCACAAGAGTAGGGTCTGGGGAGGGTGTGTGTACGCAGACCTTACCCCTACTCGAAAGTAGAGAGGCTGTTTCCAAAGAGACCCCCGGCTCAACGTCGAAAGTTGCATTGCTTGACTAACTGCTACTTCATTAATTAAAGAAGCGCAGACAGTTTAGAGATCCATTTTGAAGAATAAATTATGTTGAAACATGGTTACTAGTCACTTCATTATTCAGAAGAAAAAGGTTTGCAGATTTTAGCCGTGGCTATTATGACACCAAATGAGGAAGCATCTTTAAATACTAACATACTGGTTTATTCACACAAATACACAAGGTAAGTATCTTAAGAATTGTTGGCATGCCCAAATTACAGAAAATATATGCACAAATTCATTATTTACTATCTGCATAAGAGAATTATTTACTATCTGCATTGAGGCTACTATAGGCAATGTATGACCAACATTGATTTACTATACATAGTTCATCAAAAAAACAAAAACATTCAACCCGGAGAGTTTAAAATATGTGAGAAGACCTGATTCAATTTTCTTCCCCAGATCAGGTCATCACCAGGAACCCCAATGTCAAATGAAGTAAATTTGATAGCAATGGAGAATAGGGAAAGAGCTTTTTTGCAGACGTCATCTTAAAAGTTAAAGCAAACATTGTTTTACATATCAAAAAAATCAAAACCTAATTAACACCTTACCATTACCATAGATCTCCATAAATCATTTAGTCTCTGCAACTCTGACAACCCCTTTGCCAGACAATTTAGATCTGGTTCTGCCTGACAATTTCTGGAAAAAAAATGAGCTATTTAGTACAAGTGCCTTTAAAGCATCCAATTAATAAGCTGTAAAACTAACCGATTTCCTGAATTAATGCAGTAAGATGGTAGCAGAAAAGTATGTCTGATCATTGTTTTTGAGAATTTGGCAAGATCCTCAACGCATAGTCCCTGACACAGTTCCGAAGAAGGTGAGATGTAGAATCTAGATATTTTTTCAAGAAAATAAATACTACCTCCGTCCCGCTATATTCGTCCACTTTTGACTTTTGGAACTGTTCATCTAAGCACTTTGACTCATCAAATTCTCTCAATGTGTAAGCCTAAATATAGTCATGTGTGATCTTGTTTGATTTATCTTAACATATAGATTATTAATATACAATTTTTATAATTTTTTAATGTACAAATTACAAGATAAAATAGATTAAAGAAGTGCATTGGATGGTGTGTAAAAATGAAAGTGGACAAATACTCTGGGACGGAGGGAGTAAATAACATAACAACAACAAAAATACCCCGGTGCCTCAAAGGCTCCCGTCTGGTTGCGGGGTAAGGGGGGTGATAGAACTCAGCATTGGCCAGGAAAATAAATAAGGGAAAGTTTTTATTAAATTATGAAATCAGCATTTAAGTAATAAGGCCAAGGAGAATCTCCAGCAGTAAACATTGAATTACTTTCTCGATAACTTTTACAAATGTTAGAATATAAGAAACATTTCCTGGGCCACAACCACAAGCTTGAGCTTTTGGTTGAATTGGTTCCTTGACAATAAATAATGAGCCTCTATATTTATTGAAGCTAAATAACTACCAATTTCTAGAATTTAGGCACAGTACCACATAAGCTAGTAACTATTCCTAGACTTGAGGCTCACTACCACATTACTTAGAAACTACTCCTAGAATTTAGGCCCACTTACACATTATTTACTACTTAGTAACTAACATATATAAAATAATATTTTTGACCCGTTAAACAAATGACCCTAACTGACTCTATTATAAGTATTAATAACATAAAATAGCTGCATATGTGGCACTTTGTCAGGAGGGTTGAATGTACGGAGCCTGATGACCCCTATGTTTAAAACATGGAGTGCCTGTTTCTGGATGAGCCATGTTGAGCATCAAAAGTTGCATTGACTAAATGTTACTAACTTACTTCAATATTCAAACGAGCACAAACAATTTAAAGAGCCATTTTGCTTTATTCCATCATACCCCAAAGCCAAAAAGTTGTGAATAACAAAAATAAAAGAATTATTGCAAGCATGAAAACAATTTTGGAACCTATATGCAAAAACAGACATACTCATAATAGGAACAGGCCTTAGTTAAGTGAAATCAGCAAGAACCACGTAACAGTGGAAGCACAAATGTGAATCTAGATTGACGCCAAGTTAATACTCTATCTATCCAAAATAATCATCCCTTGCTAGTTGCTTCTTACTCCTTCCTTCCAAATATATTTTGCATGTTTAAATTGTCTATGTTGGTTAATTCCAGTACAGAATTTAGTTTAAATTTAAAAAAATAAATAAGAAAAAAAAGGGCAGGCAGTTACTAGTTAGGCAGTTTTTATGACAGTTTCCAACAGATGTGTTGGTTAGAAACTGTTGTGTCTATTTGTAATGGTTGTGTTGTTTAGTCCTTTATTTATATGTATGGACACATAGTTCTAGACAGCAGTTCCACAATAAAAAACACTCTGTTTATATACTTTAGATATGATATTATTTCTCAATTGGTATCGGAGCCCTGGTAAAAATAAAAAATCAACAAGATCGTGTCTAAGGTTCGGGCACTTGGATCGACAATTGAGGAGAAGAAACAAGTTGCTTATTTCTGCCACAAACAAGTTCCTTCCAATTGTCGCCACAATAGAACAATATTCAGACTTGAATACTATGGCATCTGAAGAAGCTGTTGGTAGCCTTAAGGCCTATGAGGAACGGATTACTCCTGGTGGACCAGTCAAAGATTCATCAGATCAATTACTGCTAACAAGGGCTGAATGGCAAGAAAGGCAGAAAACTGAGTCAAGGCAGGCCAGCAGGGGTCGTGGAACAGGATTTAGTGATCACCGTGGCCGAGGTCGTGGGCGTGGCAGACCTAACGGGCATGGACGAGGGGGCCGAAATCCCTCAAATAATAACCAAAGAGCTGGACAGGATGAACGAGGTGGTAAACGTGACCGAAGGAACCTGCAGTGTTATAATTGTGATAAGCTTGGTCATTTCTCTGCCGAGCGTCGGGCTCCTAGAAGAACCAATGATGAAGTTAATCTAGCAAAGGAGGATGATGAACCCACTTTGCTAATGGTAAAACATGTTCATGATGTGGTGATGCTGAATGAGGAGAGAGTGTTTCCTTGTGAATATGCCAAAGAGAACAGCAAGGAAGGCACGTGGTATTTAGATAATGGTGCTAGCAATCACATGACTGGGAAACGGGGTTATTTTAGCAACCTTGATGAAAAGATAGTGGGACGTGTGAAGTTTGGAGATGGTTCAACCGTTGAAATAAAAGGCAGAGGGTCTATTCTTTTGCAATGTAAGAATGGTGACCAGAGGCTCATCACCAACGTATACTATATTCCGGATCTATGTAATAATATTCTATGTTTGGGTCAACTTGACGAGGTGGGATGCAAAATTGTTATGGAGGACGGTTTTCTTTGGCTATATGACCGTTCAGGAGCAACATTGATGAAAGTGAAGAAGTCTTTAAACTGACTATACAAGGTACATCTTCATATAGTTCCACCAACATGTTTACTTGCAAAGATGGATGAGGCGGCCTGGATTTGGCATGCACGCCTTGGACATTTAAACTTTGATGCTATAAGGAAGTTATCAAAAGAAAAGTTGGTGATTGGTGTGCCAAACATAAATCACAAGTCACAATTGTGTGAAGCTTGTCTCATTGGGAAGCAACATCTTCCATTCCCATCCCAAATTTCTTATCGAGCACAACAACCCCTTGAACTAATACATGCTGATCTGTGTGGTCCTATTACACCAAGTACACCATCTGGGAACAGGTACTTTTTATTGCTAGTTGATGATTTCAGCAGATTTATGTGGGTATATGTTATCAAGTTCAAAGGCCAAGCATGTGAGGCATTCAACAAGTTCAAGAAGTTTGTTGAATTGGAAAGTGGTTACAAGGTGAAAGCATTGAGAACTGATCGTGGAGGTGAGTTTGTCTCTACCAACTTTGAACAACTTTGCAATGAAGAAGGTATAAATAGGTATTCAACCGCACCATATACGCCACAACAGAATGGTGTGGTTGAACGCCGAAACCAAACTGTTCTTGGAACCACAAGATCTATGTTGAAGGCCATGAATTTACCCCAATGGTTGTGGGGAGAAGGGGTACGACATGCTGTCTACATCTTGAACAGAACTCCGACAAAAGCTTTAGAAAAGAAGACCCCATATGAAGCCCTAAAAGGACGGAAGCCCAATTTGGAACACCTAAAGGTGTTTGGATGTATGGCGCATGTCAAAGTACCAACACCCAAATTAACAAAGCTGGCAGGTAGGAGCGAGGCAATGGTACATCTCGGGAGTGAACCAGGAAGCAAAGCATATCGGCTTTACAACCCAAAGTCAAAAAGGTTATGTGTTAGCAGGGATGTCCAATTTGAAGAAAACAAAGCGTGGGACTGGGCTGAAGATTTGGAGACAGAGGGAAATGAAAAGCGACTTGAATTTGTTGTTGAAAATGAAGCTTGTGTGACTGGTCAAGGATTGACTCAAAATGGTGGCAGCCCACTCAATACCTCACCCAATCACACCGAAGGCCAGGCTGCTCCAGTTGTACAGAATGGGTGTGAATCTGTTAGCCCACCAGAGAATTGTTCGTTGTCTAGCCCAAACTCGTCTGCTTCAGTTCCAAGCACTGTAATCAGCCCACTAAATGTTCCAAACAGCCCGCATGAGTTTGAAAATCTTAGTGCATCAGGTGCAAGTCCTACTTCAAGTTCACATTATCATGATACACCCCCTCGAGGATTCCGCTTGCTAAATGATGTGTATTCAAGAACTCAATCGATACAAGAGAAGGCTTTCAATCCACCTCACTTTGATGATGCAGAATTATTACTATCCAATGAAGAACCAAGTACCTTTAATGAAGCCAAAGATAGCAAAGAATGGAGTACTGCAATGCAAGACGAATTGGATTCTATTGAACAAAATAGAACCTGGAAATTGGTTGAACTCCCAAAAGGAGTTAAACTGATTGGTCTGAAGTGGGTTTATAAAGCCAAAAGGATGCCACAGATAATATAATTTGCTATAAAGCGAGACTCGTTGCGAAGGGGTATGTCCAAAAACATGGTATTGACTACGATGAGGTGTTTGCTCCAGTTGCTCAAATGGAAACAGTCCGTTTGCTTCTAACCCTAGCTGCACGAGATGGTTGGGAAGTTCACCATCTTGATGTGAAGACGGATTTTCTTCATGGAGACTTAAAGGAGGATGTATATGTATCACAACCAGAGGGGTTCGAGAAGCCGGGAAAGGAATATCTTGTGTACAAACTGGTAAAAGCTTTATATGGCCTAAAGCAAGCCCCGAGAGCCTGGAAATCAAAGCTAGATGCAACTCTACAACAACTTGGTTTCAAGCGTTGTCCACGTGAACATGCTGTATACAAGCGAAATACGAAGAATGGACCATTAATAGTTGGTGTATATGTTGATGATCTAATCATCACAGGTCCATGCAAGGATGAGATTGTTGGGTTCAAAAGACAGATGAAAAACTGTTTTGAAATGAGTGATTTGGGGCTTCTATCATACTATTTGGGAATAGAGGTGAATCAAGACAAAACTGGCATTACTTTGAACCAAACAGGATATGCAACAAAGGTTCTAAAGAATGCAAATTTGTGGGAGTGTAATCCTGCAAAATTTCCTATGGATCCAAGTTTCAAGCTTGGAAAAGATGAGGAGCTGGAGTCTGTTGATGCAACTGAGTACCGAAGGATTATTGGGTGTCTTCGATATCTAACCCATACAAGGCCAGATATGACTTATGAGTTATGCAATTGGAATAACCAGTCGATTCATGGAGTCACCAAAAACATCACATATGCAAGCTGTAAAACAGGTGTTGCGATATTTGAAGGGTACAATCAATTACGGGATTCGGTAC